CTCTTCTCAACTCTCTTTGAATCATACGCACGGCATCACCATGAAGTTCACAATATCATCGCGACCCCTCTCCTTAAACGAGACATGCATACAAACTGTCAAGAATGCCAAATCAACACCAGTCTTTTGTCAAAATATTACCACCACGACTCTCGACGTAACCCTCGAAAAATTGCACATCGAAGAGCGAAGACTCAAGTTTAGACGCATTTTTTGTCATCAACAGTTGTCCCATTGTGTAATGCCGCCCCACTCGAAGTGGACACAGGACTCTTAGAGGTTCGATTTAGGAATAAACTTGCTAAACACATCCTCACGAAGGGCTTATCATCTCCGGTTTAGACCAACAGTGTCTGATGCATGTATCGAAACTTGCTATTTCATTAGATCGTTAACTTATTCCATCTCGCTTGCTTTCTCCGTTTTCTCTTTTTTTACACTTCCATCCTTTCATACAGTCTTCACTACCAACTAATGAACTTATTTATTTAGGTAATTAATTACGATATCGAGTTAGCATTACAATACTCCCCCCACTGTTCATCACATAACAACTAACTAATCCCCATCCTGATGATGTGATGGCTGTTGATATCTATAAGCCCTGCTGTCCCGGGACAAACTCAATCACTCTAATCACCGAGCCTACAAATTCATAAATAACTGCCAACTAATTAGAATTAGTGCAGTCAAGCAAACGGACTATCTTCGATTGGAAATTACCAGATATCTGTAATCATACTGAAAATAAAACATGGAAACACTAAGAAATAAACTGTTTTATGCTAGCTCATGAAAAAGATTCTCAATATCTGAGTATTGGATGAAATCTTGCGTGGTTAAGTCAACTAATTGCGTTACAGTAATCTGTACCGTAAGTTGTTAAGGAGTTGCCGATAGTGAAGTGAATTTATTCCAGCATATTCTTGTTGTAAAGTTATATTTGAAACACATCTAAAAATGTAACCTCATGTAAAGATTCTGTCACGTTGCAAGATTAGCCGTCACGTAACGCCATGAGACAACTGAAAATGATATTAATATTATTAGAAACTTATGTGTAAACAAAGTTTTTGTAAGGCCACTTGTAAAGTTCATAAAGCGGCACAACATGTAAATTATTTTTACTTCCCCTTAAACACATTACATGTCTATCAAGACCTCATTCACCTCACAGTTTGGTCAGCGGTAAACCAAATCAGTTCTGTCGGCTCTAGCCAATGTGAAATTTTCAAAGTCACGTTCTTTACTGTGTACAAATGGAGTCTTTTTATCAATCCGATGTCGTGCTGGAAATGGATTTCGGCCTCAGCTTTCGCTCTGCTTTACTCTGTGAAAGATTACTAACTTGTCACTGTGACCCGTTTTCGGTTTCGGGACTTCTGTTGTGAGGACTGTAACTTCTCTAACGACATTTGGTCGTTTCTTTTTCATAACTTTTACCCATTTATCAACCTTCAATCAAGTGGAAATCACAACTGCGTTGAGCTGCGTGAGATCCTGGGTGATTTACGTCAACTTGGACGGTCAGATTGCTGTTTGGCTGGAAACAGACCTAGCCTTACAATCAGATTTATTAGATGTTTCTTGGTTGCTGCCACTTAGAAGACGGGCCACGGAAGAAACCTACTTTCCTGAGTTTTTGTTTCCCACGGGTCTTTTTTGAATTGGTCTTTCCTCCTTTGGCCCACTTTAGTCATTCGGCACTGGACTTGGTTGGGGTATCTGTACATCGATTTGTGTTAATGGAACAGGCATCATCTGGACTATCTTGATGTCGCTTGCTAATGCGCTCTTTGGTAGCGTTTACGATTGCAGCATTGGATAACAAGCTCTTTGTATCCGGGCAGCATTGATGGCACAACCGAACACATTCCTTTTAGCTAAACTGTTTGAAAGCTGCATGTGTCAGATTTGTGCAAAATTCTTAGTACCACTCTTTGCATTGATTATACCGCCCCCAACTTTATTCCAGCCTAACCCTACATCAAACAACATCACTCGTCAAGTCATTGAGAAGAGGTTTCTAAAAGGAAACAGACATCTAGAGACAAAATCTGATAACCAGAGAACAGTGAACCGTGGACTGTTCAGTCAGAACGTGCAGAAAACAAAGAAAAGGCAATAGACTATAAATCACATTCAAAAGTTACGTTTGTGAAAAAATCAATGTTACTCTAACTAAAATTAGTTCAGTTAGAGATAAGAACATCAGTTTTGATGCGTAATCGCAATCGAAACTATAAATTTAACTCAGGAAGAAAAATACCACCGTCCTTTTATAGTAGTGCACAACGTGTTTGGGAACTCGAAGTAGGAAGTCGCAGGATATACAAACCCTTAATGTAGTAACATGTTACCGTATTTTAGTGTGTACGTTTTGGTATGTGCCCATTAGACATTATCTTCACAATGACTCACAGGTGTGATCTCATCAATGGAGTTATCTGAATGACGTCGTCATAAGACTGCTCCTACATTCATTGAGTTAAAATACGTTTAGCCTATATTGTCAGTTACGGTATACTTTACCGTTTATAGCTATATTACATCTGACTTTTTCTTTTTTTAGTTTTGTAACTCAATGTTATACACTTTTATGAACCATATACTCTACAATAGTATAAACTTCAAAGTTGAGTCGTGCATTTATATGCCAGGTATCCAATAAAACTGAGTAAGCATTGATTGATTGCCTGCAAAAATAGTAGAACCCTAAATAGGTGTATTCTGCTATTAATGAGTGGTTTGTGCAATCTTTAGGTTGGAGAAAGCCAATGCCAAATTTAGTTAGCGATAGTATCGCACACAATAAGCGATTCCCCTTCAGGTGTAGTCGTTTCACTCTATTCGTAGTTTTCTTTGCTTCTGAATGACAACGTTATGGGTAATTATGACGTTCATAAAATTTAGAGGACTTCATTTAACACAAGCTTTTAGTTTGAGACTTCGAAGCTTACCTTTTATTGTTATTCTGTAAAGTAACTCTTACTTTATAAAAGTAGTTAACTTCTATTCTCAAACTTTAGCCTTAAGCAGCATTGTGTTCTGAGATAATTTATCAACAGCTTGAGATTTAAAGAACCATTTTAAAACTCTACTTTCTTATCACACGAGCTCTCTCATATCAGCAGCTCTCTGAGATATAAGTTTTCGTGCCTGAAACTACTTTACTTTGTAAATATATCCGGTTTTTTATTCAGATAACTAAGGAATTTTTTGTGAAAAAGTTTTTAAACCTATAACTTGTTTGCTAATTAAACTAATGTAGGTATAATTTTCAAGAGATTTAATTATTCTCTTTTCATTTTGATAAAATATATTATCTTCTATGTTGTTCAGTAACTTCCCATAAGCTGATGAATAAGTTAACTATCTTCTTTGTGTCGAATGGTATCATCGGACAATCAGTCATGTATTTCACTTTGATTATTTATCTGCCATATAAAATAATATTCTATATCTAGGGATCAAATTAGGACTTATAACGTATGTTGTCAGTATTCTAGGTTCAATATGCTTGTGATTGTGGTAATTAGATCTTATGTTATTGACCTTCTGTAATTTGTGTCACCTGTGGCATAACTGGTGTGTCCATCTATCAGTCATGGTGTGTTTTTACTACTCAGCAGTCCGCTCTGTATTAATCTATCACTATAAAATGTGATATTTAAAAGTATAAGATAAGCATAGGCTATAAAATTTTGACTATAGCCGCCTTCAAAACATGCACCATCGGACACCAGAGTGAGCAATCTTGTGGTTAGACGATGGGTCCCAAATAAATAAAACAGTCCTGTTAATGAGGCAATGAATCTTCAACTGGAGTTATTGAAAAATATCATCCATAACTAACCACGTCAGAACTCAACTGTCACTGTCGTTTAAAGTAAGAGTAAGTTGAAAGAAAGCTAAGATCTGTCAAACAAGTGTCACATCGTTCCATCAAGTCTTTGACTGTTAGTCTGAAACTTATGGTTAAGTGCAAATGACTTGATTTGTATCTCCACGATAATTGTGACCTACAGCTGCAGACGGATAATATTGCTCAGAATCAATCACAGTGTCTCAAATGCATTGGCTTCTCGATACGGAAGATCTTTTAATCAAATGTAATATCTACTCCGGTATTATTCTCAATGCTCAGTTTTCTCATTACCAATACTATTATAGGTATTTTGACTCACTGGTTATTTGTCTTATGTTAATTCGGTACAGAAAGATTGCGCCTATCTGTCTCAGACTCTAACTGACAATACTTGGCATATTTTCTAGTCATCTGGACTGACCCTATCAAACTGACCAGTGGTTATTAATGTAGACAATAATACGATGAGATTTACTTAACCTTAGTGTCTACAGTTTATTATTCAGTAATCACTGAAGATACGACGACATTACTAATTGTGGTTTCTGACATCATTATTTTCAAACTTTTGTCTGTAGCAGTTCAGTATATTGAATTATAATTCGTCTTCAGTAAATAGAAACTAATTTGTGGCTAACTTGGCAGTTTATGATTACCCCTCGTACAAACTACTAAGGAGACTATGTACCAAATATCAAGTGGATTATAATGGTTATGTAGTGAATGAGAACACAGGTGGGGCAACCGAATTGTATTTAACGAAAATTACAGAGTTACTCAGTAAAATCGGAAAACCATATCGTAAATCGTTCATTTGCAAAATATCAGTCCATCATATCGAACTGGACTGTTCCTGTTGCAAAACATCAATCCATTGTCACTATTCATGATGCGTTTCATACAAATTCCATTGTTTTCTAACTCTTTCTTTCTCTTGATCTTCCCCCATCTTCTGCTACCAGACTTTACGTTGACACTCACGTTATATACTACTTATAAGTAGTTCGCACCACAGCACCACAGTTATACTTTAGTAAAAACCAACAGTGTTATGCATACAAACATACTTTTTTGTTCAAATGCACACTGTATCATACAAACAGATTGCAGATTTTCCGTTATATTTTTTTTAGGATTTTTTCCCTCTTATTCCATGAAACGTGCTAAACAAGAAAGAGAACTAACCGATGAAGAACGTAATGTTGTAATATCTGTACGTCATTGTGCACGTGAATTAGATGATATCTTACAAGGTGCACGTAGAAAAGCTCAATCAAATGCTAAACTATTTGCAGAAACAGGAATTAGTGTTCTGTTTCGAGGTGTTGATTCTTATGCAGATATGTATGAAAAATTAGCTATAAAATCAAGAGATGGATTAGAGAGATTATTTTCTAAATTTTCCGATTGTGAAGAAATTCAAGATACTCAAGATGCAATTGAAGAAACTGAAGGAAATTGGCGAAATTTTCTTGTTAATCTTGATAAAGAAGTTATGCGTGAAGAACATGAAATGAAATCTATATCTAAACTGGAAAATCATGTGGATGTAAAATGTGACTACCTATTCTTGCCATCATTGCCACTTATTGATTGGCAAACTAATCGTGAGGTTAACTTGCAAGATTATGTTCAGAAATATATATGTCTTGTAGTTATCTGTCAACCTGCCTACTGGCCAGATACTGTTGTTCGTTGGCGTTATTCAGAAGTATCAAAAGCTCAGGTAAATTTCACACGCCAGTAATATAATAGTTTTGTGAATAATGTTTATAGTGTAACACTAACGAAAATGTTTTGTCAGATTTACTAATCATGTCTTTTTAGAACCACTGATACTGTTTACTATTATATGTAGTGAACGAGAACACAGGTGAGGGCAACCTGAATTGTATATTTAACGAAAATTACAGAGTTACTCAGTAAAATCGGCAAAACCATATCGTAAATCGTTCATTTGCAAATTATCAGTCCATCATATCGAACTGGACTGTTCCTGTTGCAAAACATCAATCCATTGTCACTATTCATGCGTTTCATACAAATTCCATTGTGTTCTAACTCTTCCTTTCTTGATCTTCCCCCATCTTTTGCTGCCAGACATTACGTTGACACTCACGTCATATACTACTTATAAGTAGCTCACACCACACTACTACCGGTGTACACATATGCTAGGTTCTACGTTACTTATGATTAATTAACTAGGAACTTGACGAACCTCATTATATTTGTATCTATAATGACCTATTTGAATTGGCATTTCCATCTATCTGTCTGTGCTTACATGGTATGACAACTTGAACTGATGTACTTACGTACCAAGTTCTACATTGTAGTTGATTGACTAGTCTACAATGTCGTAAATCATACGGCCAGTTTAATAATATATTAATAAAATTAATATTTAGTTAGACCTAGACGCAATCACTCCTTACTATTTTATTATGTAAAGGCTATGTGTTTTTGGGATTATCTGATACTTGGTTTTACGATTTATGATCCCCTGTACATCACCTACTGCATACAATGCTCTGATTCTTACATTACAAAATTCTCAAAAAGCCTGTTTATATTCTACCGCTTGATTTTTTAGTGGAATTCATAAATAACATTTTAATGGCAAAAAAATACCTTACTAGTTGATATCAACTGGAAAAAAAAGATGAATATTTATCACTAGTCTTCATTCAGTATTCGAATTCATTGCGAAAGGATCATAACAGTGCTCATTGTCAACATTTATAAATTACGATAAAATAGATTAGGGTTAAATTTATTCTCAGTTGATCTTCAAATGAAACCTTTTTTCATTTGATTGGGTGGTTTGAAAGAATGAGTTCAGTTCAATAACAGTTCAGAATGATACAAGCTGTAAAACCATTAGAAATTTGAATGAACAGTCATCTTGTTCTAGCTTGGTAATCTTAGTGACCCATATCTCCAACTTCAGTTTAGTTAGTTATCTATCAGTAACATTTGATGATACTCAACAAGTTCGATATAAGTTGACAAAACTCTAAAACATGAACTATTTTAATTGGATTTAGTGAGTAGATGTTATCGAGCTGGTCCTGAAATCTGAGATTAGTGAGTTCATCTTTTAAGGGCTTGTAAGTTCGTATCTCTTCATCAGTTCTTTAACTAGCTTTTGTCCATGATAAGAGATGTTAGGGGGTCTAGGAAGTATTTGATTTTGACCAATTAGGTCTCGCGTGCTGGCGGATGTCACTTCCCGGCTGCCCTTACCGTGGGTGTTTCTTGAGGAACCTGAAGAGGAAGGTAGATTATTGTCGGTCTTAGAGACCTGGGTGCGTGGCCGCAGAGCCCAAGGGACAACTGCTTCAGGCCGGTCACAAATGGCCTTTTTATGAAAGGTTTCTTGAGTATTAGCAGAGCTCTTAAAAGCCCTTAGTGGGCAGCCTTGACCGACGGAGACGGAAATCCGTGAGGTAGGGTGAGGTGTGACATTCTTAGGGTCGACCTTTTCTAACCCTTCCTTCCTTGTGAGAAGGCAGCATCGCGGCAGATGCTGGTTGTCCGAGGGAAACACCTTACTGCTGCTGTCACACCCCTCTGCAGTCAGCAGTACGACTTCGCCCTTAGACCTTGAGTAGCTGCTTTTAGTCTTATTGTTCTCCAATCGACCTGCCTGGCATAGTAGAGCCTACAGGAACATATGTTCCAGCCAATATAGCTAGGTTGCGTCATCACGATAGGCAAGCCCGTTCACCACATCAATGTAGCAACTACGGTAAGATGTCCATGATAAAAACTACTATTAAATGGGTAACACTTCCTTTCTTTATAAGCTTTTCGAGTTGATCAGTTTTTAGAAGAGCTATTTCGTAACTATGATCCAATTTAATTACACATCAAAGTAATGCGTTAGTTGATTTCACTTCTGTGACATGTCATTTTTCATTATTTGAAATTGTTAATTTGGAATAGAGCTTTCAAAAATACTTGATTATTCTGACTACATTAACATACTTTTCTGTTAATTCCTTCCAACAAGTTATGACTTAATAGTCTGCTAGCATCGATGTCCAAATGGAAGCATTTATGCTTCAACTGTCGTATAAGTTTTTAGACGTCATGATAAGTATTAAGTACTAAATTCATAATTTTTATGTTTTTCTTGTTTTTATTTGCTGAAATTGAATCTGTTTATATAATTTTAAACTATTTTTTTCAAGTGTGATCTATCACAATTCAGAGTTGGATATGCAGTTGTTACATGGGGCCCGGCAGACGAAGTACGTAATTGGTGTAAACAGGTTAATCGAACTACAAAATGGCCAGTTTTATGGGATAAATCAGGCGATTTTCGAGCTAAAGTTGGATTTAAATCAGGTTTACAACGTGTTAGTTTACTCTGTACTTTTCATAAAATCAGTTTTTATTATTATATTTTTTTTAATGTCATGTAATATGATGTGTATTAATTGATTAGATTGATATTTTTTTCTAAAACAATAGTTTCACGTTCTTCAGAGTTATTCTTATTTTCGGAGTCTTTCTAACCCAATCCCTCTGTTCAGTACTTCAAAATGTATCCATTCAGTGTGTGACGACTACTAAGGGAGTGAGAGCCTACTTCATACCTGTGTCACCTTTAGGATAATGGAAAACAATTTTATAAGTGTTGTCATCTTGAAATACTGATATTAATTAATGGCGTAGGCACGTTTTATGTCGTTCTAGCAGTCCATGTTTTCGACGCATTTCTTAAAAGGTTACTTTATTAAGCTTTCTGTATTATACAAAGGAGTATCATGATATGTGAACACTTCGTCCTTTTGCTGTATACACCCTAGACTCTCACTAATATGATGCATGCGCCCACATTGAATTTTAGCCTATATATAGTATGTTCATGACTAAATTGTGCATATATCTCAAAAAGAAACACGTAGTCAATTAACTCATTTATGTTTATTTTACTAAAACTAACAAGGCATATATGCATTACATTTTTACGCCCTAATCATTCCTTCATGTGTAAAGTGTGAAAAAAAAATTCAAATCTAAAATGGCGCAGGTGCATCCATTCTTTGTGTGTTCTCTCAAATCCTTAACATTCTGGATTCTTCATCACCTTTATCTTTCGCTTTTTTCAGTTTATTTCATTGAATATCTTTGAACCCTAATCTTCTTCATTACCGAAAACACTTCTACTACATTTACTGCTACGGGATTTGAATTTACAATTGCGTCTCTGTGCTAACGTCATACCGCAACTTGGATTACTGATGTACGTTCTACGTATAAGTGACGAACCTTCACATCCGACTCAACATTCATTTCTTAGAACAGTACTTCCAGACAAGTAGCACAGTAAAGATTTGTATCATGGAAGAGTCCTACCTAACCATAGTGTTCTGTCTTATAAAATGTAATGTATTGATACGATTAAGTTGACTGTTACCCAATCATCTCGCCTCATTACTCTGTGTAAATTTTCCAAACTCTGAGTAATTTTTTTATTGTGTATGATAGAGTATTGATTAAAAGTCTTATCATTTGTTTTTCATCTAAATGGATATAGGTATGGGCTGCTGAAAATCTAGATTTCCTTGGTTGTCAACGTTCAATGCATCATCGTCCGATAAATCCACCGCCAACTGATATCAGTTGGTTAGAATGGAAACAAATTGGTGGCGAATTAGTTCTAGCTCAACCTGTTTTATGGAATCCTCAAAAAGTGATGAAATCTAATAGACATCTAACGACAATTCAAACAGGTGTAAAACATAAGCACAACGCCAATGAAAATAATGTTGATGATGATGATGAAGATGATGTTAACAGATCCAATGAAGAGAACATGCACTCAGAATCACTTAAAACATCAATTCAAGAGGCTATTCGTGATAAAGAAGCAATGAGTTCAAAACAGACTAAAGTTTGTGTATCACACTTGAGTACTCGTATTTCTGATCTCATGCCTTCCGGTTCTATATATCAAGCTGCTTTAACTTGCTATGCTCGTGCACATAATACTACAGAAAGTGATGTGATGGATAAAATTAGAAGAGATCGTAGATTTTCTACACCACCTGAATCAGCTCGATTACAGTACGAAGCAACGACTGGTTTATATTATGATCCAGAAACTGCTTTGTATTATGATCCATTAAGAGGTTATTTCTATGATTCAACAAATCAAATGTACTATTATTGGTCTCAATCTGAAGGACGATATATCTTAGCCAATGCATTAATTCAAGCTGAACTTGCTGCTGCTCATATAGCTCAAACAGTAGCAGCTCAAGCTGCTGCAGACAAAGCTATAGCTGAACGTGAAGCTGCTAAAAAAGCTGCCATGTGTGTAGCTGCACAATTAGCTGAGATACGTGCAGGTAAAGATGATTATGCTGCTTATGCATATGCAACATGTGTACTACCTCAACAAGAACCAACTGATCCAGATTATAAAGAAGTTTGCATAGATAATGATCGATTTCATCTTGCTTATCAAAATACAACAGCTGCTGCAAATAATATAGAAGCTTCATTAAAAGCATGGAATAATACATGTATTACTACTAATAGTAGTAGTAGTACTGAACTTTTATCATCGAAACCTCTTGTTCCTTATACAGATGATAATACAGAAACGGATCATTGTAGTTCAACACCACCACCGCCAGGATTGTAAACAGAAAAAAAAAACATGACAAACTATTTTATTATTGATTGTGTCACATTATTTTATTTATTGCATAAGTAGCAGCAGCAGCTGATGCTGTCGCAGTATTTTACGTATTCTAAATTGTACATTTGTAATGATTCATTTGATGACTGACTGTACAGTAATTTCCCGAGATTGAAATATATATCTCTCAATAGTATATATACTATTTTGTTTTTTAAGTAAAATCTGAATTATTCTTATATAAAAAAGGAAGCTAGTGAAACAACATTTGTATTTTTATGTGAACTAGTGTTCATTATTGGATGAACGACGACTTGATTAGAGTAGAACCTGCCATTCTTGTTTAATTTTATCATAGACATGCTTCTAGTCATAACATTATCCTCGTCTGAATTTTCAGGAGTAGACCTTCTACCAGGTGGCTCGCTTATTGACTTAGAATATGCCGATGACATAGTCCTACTTGGTCAAGACGCTGACAAAATGCAGAGTCTTCTGACTACCCTAAGCAACAATGCAAGCATGTTCTGGATACGGTTTTCCCCCTCGAAATGCAAAATGTTGCTTCAAAATTGGGTTGCATCGGCACCTGAACTAGTGATAGGGAGTGAAGTGGTCGAACGTGTAGACCGCTTCACTTACCTTGGGAGTCTCATCAGTGCCGATGGCCTGGTGACTGACGAAATCTCAGCACGGATACAGAAAGCTGGATTGGCTTTTGCCAACCTGCGTCACTTATGGCATAGGCGAGATATCCGTTTGCTGACTAAAGGACGAGTGTACTGCGCAGTGGTTCGCTCCGTCTTACTTTATGGCTGTGAAACATGGCCAGTGAGAGTAGAAGATATTCGTAGGTTACTGGTTTTCGATCATAGGTGTCTTCGAAGCATTGCTCGTATATCGTGGGACACCCGAGTGAGCAACGCTGTTATTAGGAATCGGGTGCTAGGTAAGAATGGCAGATCAATCGATAAAGTATTGAAACTTCACCAGTTGAGGTGGTTGGGACACGTGTTGCGTATGCCCAACCACTGACTGCCTCGTCGAGCCTTGTTTTGTAGTGTAGGAATAGGTTGGAAGAAAGCTAGGGGCGGCCAAACCAAAACATGGCAGAAATCCATGAAGTCATTGACTAGTGGACTAAGCCATGTCGGTAATTGTCGACTACCTGGTTGGGGTCCGCGAGATGATAATAATCGATGGTTAGAGACCTTGAATGACATGGCTCAAAATCGTTCGCAATGGCGCCGGTGCATTAATTCTCTGTGTTCTCTCAAATCCTAATCTTCTGGGTTCTTCAACGCCTCTAGTTTTGACTTTCTAAACTTTTCTCATTGAATCATACTTCTTGAATAATATCTTCTAATCCTAACCTCTCCGATTACTTCTAATACCTTTACTACCTCTTCTACTATTGGATTTGAATTGACGATTACTTCTCTGTGCTGATGTGGTATGGCAACATGAACTGATCTACTTATGTACAAAGTTCTACGTTGCATCTGACTGCCTGAGAACCTGCCATGCAGTGATTTGATTGCAAATATTTCATAAATACTGATAACATTCTACGAAAATATCACGTTATTTTTTTTTAGTTATGCTTGGCTTTGAGACACAATCAACTCTAAGCTGTTGTAAATCCCCTTATGAGATTTATTGCGTTTTAGTGAAGACATTACAAGATATGAATTATTCCTGTACCATAAAATATCTTCATTTCTAATCAAATAACAAGAGAATGAGTGCACTAGGATAAATAAAAATCAAGAATAACTTATTATTGTTTTGTAATTTTATTTGGTAAATCATTTTTTGATACATAAATTGTAGGCATTTCATGAATTATATAACCAGGAATTGTTAATATATCAATTAATCTGTTTGTTTGAAACACTTCTATATATTCATTCTGACAAGTTGTTGTTGTTGTTGTTTTCATATCTGTATTTACTTGTTGTTCAGGACCAATCTTTTGTACATTTACATAGAAATAAAATCTAACAGTTGAATCACAAAACCGATTTGTTGTAGAATGTAACCACGATGAAATTTTCCCGAAAGGAGGTGAACCTATGGGACAATGTGTGATTAGCATATCTTGCTGTTCAGATGATACATTGAGTATATGATCATTCCATATAGTACATAAGCGTGTCAGTTGCTCTTGATTATGCACAACCAAACGTATTGATTTTGAATGATTGGCGGCGGAAGTAGTTAGAACTGAAGCATTTTCCGAAGACATTAGATTAAATTCTATGCTCCATAAAATACTCTTAGGTTTATCTCTTTGTATATGGATACGGGTTTTATTGACTTTTGTACGTGACAACAAAAGCGTTGGTGCGAGTTGAAGTGTCACACCATATTCCTTGGCTAACTTTATTAGTTGGTTTCTTTTACGGATTCTCCCAGTATTTCGATGAGATAGCTAAGGGAAAGTAAATGAAACAGATGTAAATGAGAAAACTTGTACTAGAGTCTATTACTTAGAATAGACCCAAACCAGTGAACAAGGGTAAGAAGATTTTGATCAGGGAAATGTTAGGATCTCAAGAGACTAGATTTTGGTTTAGACGATAGGTCAGCATAGTGACATTAAAAGTTCCACTAGAAAAGAGTTGGCAGTATTTGACAAAATTAACATTTAATTTATTCTATTACGATCATGAACAATGTGAGTGGCGTATTCCGTAGTAAGAGCTTTCAGCATTAATGCACTAACTAATCTTAGCACACAACCTTGTTCAAAAGATATAGATTGCTCCACGTCACTTTGTAATGAACACGAAGATGAGGAACAGGACACCTACAACGGATTATGTAGCCAATTAAAACCAAATGATGTCGTTTCAAACAGTGAAATGTCCTTCACATCCTAAACTAGAACAGAAAGTTCCATAGTAATTAATACACAAAATCGACTAAATATGCTAGAATTCTATGACAGTATTTTAGAAATCTGACTACCAGTAAGAAATAACCAAGAGAACATTTCAGACAATAGGAATTAACAGTTAAATGAAGTACTATTTCAGTTTGTTGTAACCGATTGCTGCTATGCGATTTTTCAAAACTTGATGACTTACAAACTATACGTGATAATATTAAATTTGTGTTTTAAATTAACTGAATGAAAACTTTAAAAACACAAAAACTACAACCGTAACGCAACAACAGACTAACCATAGAACGCGTATACGACAAAAAACACAAATCATCCAAGAACTCCACATCATGTCTTCATAAATTGGTTCTAAATCTAAACACTAAACCTTCATATATGGAGCTCATAAAAGAATCAGCAAAACTAGACACAGCCATGGGAACATTTCCTCCTTCACGTGAAGTCAACAACTTCCCATAAAAAAGCTGCGAGTGACCGACCCCAAAACTGTTGTCCTTTTGGCTCTGCGGTCACGCTCCCAAGTCTATATCCACCATACCTGGTGCCAAATAGTACAGCAGGCTTCTTTAGCTAGCACTCTAGAATCTTTTGCTGTCGATGTATGCTGCATCTCCGAAACACGCATACAGGATTCCAGTACAGTCACTCATTTGACCTCACCTTTTAAAAATAAAGAACCGTCAAGATTCACGCTACGTGTATTTTAAAGCCACACTGCTGCTTTGCCTGGCCTCGCTAGTATAAGTATAGCATTAAGTCCTAGATCTCAGACTGGATCCTAGTGGACAGTAGCTTGTGCGCTGTCCGGGTAAACGGTAAAGTAAGAAATCGAAAAGATAAGGACACTCGCCATTTTTCTCTTTGTTGTCTCTGCCTACGCTCCCACTGATTGCAAGTCAAATGAGGTAGAATAGTGGCTGATGGTTTTAATGCTCAAGTAGGTAGATTAGACGAAACCGAAAGATACCTGGGTGGACCTTATGGTGCTGCGGCTCACCGAAAAGATAATGGCAACCGTCTGCCGCATCTATGTTCAGATAAACGCTTATTTACGGCAAATAACAACTTCAAGTATAAAGTAAAATATCTTTTGATTCATGACTCCAAAGAAAAATTTAATGGAGTAAATCAGTAATACTGAAAATAATTCTAATCCTTATGGTAAGGACAATAGGTATAAGTGTATTGGACGAAAAAAGTAAGACTGGATGTCTTGGGTTTGATTCCGCTTGTGCGGTCGTTGATGTGCACTGACTGCTGACGAGTCCCAATACTAGGAAGAAATGACCATCCAGTGCTTCCAAGTTCTCAATGGCGGTCTAACACTCACCGGTTTGTGATTTTAATGAACATTAAATGCGTTTACCTTAACTGAGTACTTTATCAAGTAGCTAGTGATTCAAATCTACTTAAAACTTCGAATTTCAGTCAGTCAGTTGCAACGTAGAACTTCGTACGTAAGAACATCAGTTCATGTCGCCATACCACATCAGCAAAGAGATGTAATTGTCAATTCAAATCCAATAGTAGAAGAGGTAGTAAAGGTATTAGGAGTAATCGGAGAGGTTAGGATTAGAAGATATTATTCAAGAAGTATGATTCAGTGAGAAAAGTTTAGAAAGTCAAAACTAGAGGGGTTGAAGAACCCAGAAGATTAGGATTTGAGAGAACACAAAGAATTAATGCACCGGCGCCATTGCGAACGATTTTGAGCCATGTCATTCAAGGTCTCTAACCACCGATTATTATCATCTCGCGGACCCCAACCAGGTAGTCGACAACTGTTGACATGGCTAAGTCCACTAGTCAATGACTTCATGGATTTCTGCCATGTTTTGGTCTGGCCGCCCCTAGCTTTCTCCCAACCTACTCCTACACTACAAAACAAGGCTCGACGAGGCAGTCGGTGGTTGGGCATACGCAACACATGTCCCAACCACCGCAACTAGTGAAGTTTCAATACTTCATCGATTGATCTGCCATTCTTACCTAGCACCCGATTCCTAATAACAGCGTTGCTCACTCGGGTGTCCCACGATATACGAGCAATGCTTCGAGGACACCTATGATCGAAAACCAGTAACCTACGAATATCTTCTACTCTCATTGGCCATGTTTCGCAGCCATAAAGTAAGACGGAGCGAACCACCGCACAGTACACTCGTCCTTTAGTCGCCTACGCCATAAGTGACGCAGGTTGGCAAAAGCCAATCGAGCCTTATGTATCCGAGCTGAGATTTCGTCAGTCACCAGGCCATCAGCACTGATGAGACTCCCAAGATAAGTGAAGCGGTCTACACGTTCGACTACTTCACTCCCTATCACTAGTTCAGGTGCCGATGAAACCCAATCTTGAAGCAACATTTTGCATTTCGAGGGGGAAAACCGCATCCCGAACATGCTTGCATTGTTGCTTAGGATAGTCAGAAGACTCTGCATTTAGTCAGCGTGTTCACCAAGTAGGACTATGTCATCGGCATATTCTAAGTCGATAAACGAGCCACCTGGTAAAACGTCTACTCCTGAAAATTCAGGTGAGGATAAGGTTATTTCTAGGAGCGTGTTTATGATAAAATTAAACAAAAATGGAGAAAGTGGATATCCCTGAAGGACACCACTTGAAGTGAAGAATTCCGGTGACAGTTCGCTATAAGCTCTCACTCGACCAGTGTAAAACTTCGAATTTACATCTGAAACAATTGAATGTTTATGCATGATGTTAAAACATGAATTAACCATTTTCTATACATTTTGCCAGAATTTGGTTATTGTTTTTAACTGAAAGAATTGCAGTCATTTCCAGACATTATACAATGAAATGGATATTCATTCAATATCCTAAGATAATTGTTTGTAAGTCTAATTCTATTGGTCAACTCGTACTGGTCAATATTATGGTCGTCCTAACTATCAATGTCACAGACTTCAATGCTGTTTCCTATTCGACCTAACTGTATAAAAATACACATTATCTGTAACGTTTTATGACTCGGATCCCTAGTCCGGGATCCTGATTCTCTTCTGGAGTTGGACTTCGTACTCTCTGGATGCTTGTAGAATACATGTTCTACTTCATATCAAGTCTTCTTCTTTTACTCAATATGGGGGTTGGGACAATCGGATTAGAGTAGCCTGTCGTATCGCCGGATCATCGACCCAGGAAGAAAACTAGGACCAACAAAATAAAAACATGGCGTCAATTCGAGCATTCATCGCGGATTTAACTGACCCACATTATAATATGTGTAGACTACCTGGTTACAGTCAGCATGATAACCATAACGGATGTTCTAGATATATGTTGTTTCAGTATCTTTCTGCTTTCTTAATTTATCTGTAAATAATAGTGAGAATTCTGCCAAATGATTACATAAAAGTAACAATAGAAAGAGAAAAATGTAGGGATAAGCTTTGAATCAGGTATTTGAATACAAATGTTTAGTATTGTAGACCAAAATAATGGCGAGTACTTAATAAGCCGGATACAGAAAAAAATGTTTGACTAAGTTAATAATAAAACTGACTATGTAACTAATTGAATCAAACTAATGGGAAAAACAACTATCAATATAAGTATTAAAAAAAAATAAAGAAACGTGCAACTTTGTAATTTAAATAACGAAGATGATAGAATTGTTAATAGAAGTCCTGTTAAGCTTTGGACTTTTCAATTTATTTCTAGGTCTGTTTTTGAGAATACAATGCTTTTGTAAACAGTTATTGTGTATGTACACCTCAATATCAGCAAGAGCTGCTGATGCTACATTGGATGGACATTTTTGATAATTTGCTATTACGACTTATTGATTTATTTTAATTACAGGATATTTTCAAGTGAACTTTCTGGCAAATATACTAATACCATTATCAAGAAATATATCTAACATTCCTAACCACTACATAATCAAAACTGCTTCAAGTAGACTATGAAATACCTACTGATCAAATATCTGATTTTATCATGTTTACACAAAATTGGCAAACATTGGAAAGTTTAGGTAGCAATAGAACTTGGACACTAAACATATAGGTTAGGAGAGATGAAAAAGTCAGCTTAAGCGACAATATTTACTAAAAAAGGAAAAAAACGAGAAAACGTACTACTGACTACCTACTGATAAAAGTTGTTTTTCTCTTTGAGCATTTTTTCTATCAATTTCTTCTAGTAATCTATAGTCTCTCTGAAAGAGAAACATTGAATAATTTTCTTTTCGACAATAGGTAACAGTATCACATATTCCTGTACAATTGAATTGAACTTTGTGATCATTACAACACGAAAGGCTACATGTCTTAACTTCACACTTTGGACATTTGTATTTGAACTCATTCGTTGAACACATAGCACATAAGCGATCGCCACTAACAGCAGCACAATTGACGAACGTTGGATTTGCTAAACTCATCACAATTAATTCAAAGATGCTTGGGATCTGAAAATTATTGTCATAGAAAATGTGACATAAAAATCAATGTGAAAACTTTATTTTAGCTGTAAAAGTGTGAATAAAGTTAACTATTTCAACAAACATTTAACTAATCACTGAGAAAAATAGTTTTCATCGATTTTATGAACACAAAATTATGGGGGACTTGGACCTGTATATTCAAATGTACAGATTTATGGCTGTTTAATATTGGATTTATCTTACAACAACACTTAATCTTCATTTCTATAAAATCTACGAATTCCCAACTACCGACTGCCTCGATTTGCGATGTAGTAATAAGTTGGACGAAAGTTAGGGGCGACCAGACCAAAACATGGCAGAAATCGATGAAGTCACTGACAAGTGGACTGAGTCATGTCGCTAGGTGTCGACTACAAGGTTGGCGTCCGCGAGATTGCAGTAATCGATGGTTAGAAACCCTGAACGACATGGTTCAAAACCGTTTGCGATAGCGCAGGGGCATTTATTCTTTGTGTTCTATCAAATCCTAAAATTCAGAGTTCCTCATTACCTTTATCTTTTTCGTTTTAAGTTTATTTCACTAGATTCTACTTCTTGAATAGTATCTTCGAACCCTGAAATTTCCGATTACTGCTAATACTTTTACTACCTCTACTACTGTGGGATTTGAATCGACAATTGCATCTCTGCGGTAATGTGGTATGGTATGGCAACATGAACTGATGTACGTACGTACGAAGTTCTACGTTGCTGTTGATTGATTGACTGAAGTATATTTAATAAAATCTAAGAGATAAATCTCTCAGACTGAGTGCAGGGATGAGCAAATAAGTAGTTGATAGGGTTAAATAATAGCTTTTACGAAGACACCCCAAAACTTGGGGCTATGGTTTGCAACACATTAAGTACTCCAAGTCACCCAAACACAAGCATCTTACCAGAGGATCATCACCATACTCCTCTAGGTAACCCCTGAAAAATCTCAGACCAGGGAACATACACCTGAGTTGTTCTCATCTGGAATACTCTTCCAGCCGATGTGAATACAGCCTCCTCAGTCGATAGCTTTAAGAGGCGACTTGATAAACACACATTCGCATACGGATTATCATATCCAGCTTGGAGCAGCTGTGACGGATGCATGACTTGAAACTTGTTTATCGTTATCGTTGTTATTATCTCACTTCGCTAACTTATTTCATCTTGCTTACTATCATCTACGTATCCCCTCTTATTCTTAAGACTCGGTTTTCTCACTATCTCCACTACCAGTAAATAATTTATTTATTTTTTTTCCTTAGCACTAGGACATTCGGTTTAATATTATTTTCCACTTTGCAACTAACTGATTTCCGGCCTGATAATGTGATATCTGATAGTATCAGAGGACCTTACTATCCGGAAACAATGAAAGTCCGATTAAACGCACTAACCTAGTGCAGTTAGGTGGCTAAACAACAACCCACTTGATGTTACCAAATACCAGGGATAAAAAAACATGAAGGGAGAGAAAAAATATCAAGTGGTTTATACTAAATAGTGAAAAGAATACTGGATAAAATTTAAATGCGATCCCACAACAGAGGTTCATATAAGTGCTTACCAACTTTTATTAGAATCTGAACGACATTGAAAATACTTAACAGATAACACTTTATAATCAGGCAATGCACAATAGTGAAAAGATAGTAAAAGTATAAGTTATCGACGACCTTGTGCGGTCTATCGGATTATTAGGAAACACTACCAAATCATAAAAAATCTAACAGCTGAGCCGCGAAATATCTGCGGAATGATAAATTTTATCGGAACAGTCAAGCTTCACATGTCGCATTGTTCCTTATGATGGAAGGGAAACGCTAAGCTAACACATAAAAAGTTGAGGTGATGTTTGAAATTAGAGCCATCAGTCCACAGAGTTTTCGTCACCAACTAAGACCGTCTATGATATCAATAGGTTAGGGTTAGGTGTTTGGAACTAATTTGGAGCTTCGACGTCGGTTTTTCGAAGTAGGGTTAGGGATTTTATCATGAACTGACATCAGTTATGATGCAGTGCATTGCCATTCAACCGTATACGGACTTAAGAGGATTATAGTTGAGATATGAGGCAGTTTAAAAAGGATACGTGCAGCTTCACTAACTACTAGTGATAATGTACTAAATCATAACACACACTTAATCATAAGATTTAACTTGAGACCAGTTGTGACCGGTAATTTAGCTCATTCATCTTAAATTCACTTTTTAGATTCAAATTCACTTTTTAGATTTTAGGGCTTCCAAGGACCACATACTTCCCACCTCAACTTTGTTAATACGAACATCCAAATTGTCTATAGCTACACTTATGCAGAAAAGTAAAGGTGTATATGGAGTTATTTTGAAAACTGCATGACAAGAGTTAATGAAAATCAATGCGTCGTTGGGAACACACGACGGACTTACTTTATGTTAAGATGGCAACAGACAATTATCAGGTATCAAATACACCAATCTTATGAAAAGCCAAAAATGAACACCACAAGTTGGCAGCGCACAATCTCGAGAAACGCGGTATCCAATATCCAATATCTTTTTCACATGCTAGTGTAAATTGATTGATTTATTTGCGCTCGATTCTTGTTCTTTCGGTACTGTTTCAGGTGTTCGGTAATGTTCAATGGATGGAGGTCTAGCCACTCGACTGTCTAATTCTAGTCAGTTGGCAGTTGGTTGTGAGTTTGTATGTCTCGGGATTTGAATGAAAACGTTCGTTTCAGGGTATTAGGGTTTCTGGATACCAGCACCCGTCACATTACCAGACCGGAGATCAGTTAGTTGCAAGGTGGAGAGTAGTAAGGATAATAAGGATATAGTTCTAATGCTAATATGAATAAAATTTCAGAACTGAGTAATATATAGATTAATTTAGTTTGTTAATTGGTAGTGAAGATTGTGAGAGAGGACTGTAGTGTAAGCAAGGGGGAGCGGACAGAGTTGAGAGGCGAGATAGAATAAGTAAGTGATCTGAGGGGATGGCAATGATAACCAGCAGGTCTCGATATATGCATCATGAACAGCTTGTCCAAGAGGGAGATGATAGTCAGTATGTGAGTACGTGATTATCAAGTCCCTTCTTATAGGGGTCTGTAGTCACCTCGGCTGGGAGAGCATTCCAAGTTGCGACGACTCACAATGAGAAGAATTGTGCATGAAAGTGATTATTCGCTTTTCCATGTGCAATCTTTCGAGGATTGCCTCGAGGGGAGTGGTAGTGATGGATCGGTAAGATGCTGACGTTGAGATGGTTCGGCGTGCTTAATATGTTTTACGCCATGATCATATCACCTTTGATTCTCCTGCAGCTCACTGGAAATAATCCCAAGAGCTAGAGTCTATCGTCGTAGGGTTTATTTTTCAACCTTATCACCCATTTGGTTGCTCGTCTCGGTACTCGAACCAAGAGATCAATGTCTCTTTTAAGCAGAAGGGGTGCGATAACTTTGTGAACCTCCAGGTGTGGGCGCGCGTACATCTTAAATAGGGTCAAAAATAGTTGCTAAGTGATAGCAACAAGCTGTCTTCGCATGGAGTCAAGAGTCACATTTGCCTTGGCTGCATCCCCTATGTAGTTCGGACTCGAGTGGAGCCTTTCTGTGATTACTAAACCGAGATCGCGCTCTGAGGAGACATTAGGGAGCGGACTTACATTGAGAGTGTAGGTCGTTTGCGTCATATGAGGCAGGAAATGCATGACGTGCCACTTCGATTGGTTGAGTTTTAAACCGTTTTTCACTGCCCATTTCTCAATGGATGTAAGGTCCTTTTGAAGCTCAGTCGAATCCTCTTCGCTTCTAATGGACCTCCAGATCTTCGCATCGTCTGCGTAGATAAATGCCGGTGAGCTAACTAAGCTTAGCAGGTCGTTAATAAATATCAGGAAGAGGATTGGGCCTAGGATGGTCCCCTGTGAAACTCCTGAAGTGGATACTCGCCAGCTCGCGTGCACCCTGTTTACCTTGGTACGAAACTTTCTATTCTCAAGGTAGTTTATGAGCCAAGATACGAGTGGGTCAGTGAAGCCCATTTCCACAACCTTTTCGATTAGGCGTGTGTGGGGCGTTGTGTCAAAGGCTTTTGCGAAGTCGGGAAATACTACGTGCACTGGTATTTTACGGTCCAAGCAGGATGTCCAACTGTCCTATGCGATGAGATGATTAGATGCACACGACCTGCCTTTCCGAAACCCGTGTTGAGCTTCATGGAGTATTTTATTCTTATCCATGTACTCCCTCATTTGTTCGTCCACCAGCCCTTCCATAACCTTTGATAGTATTGGTAGTAGTGCGACTGATCTGTAACAGGCTGGATCCTTTCTATCTCCTCCTTTGAAGATTGGAGAGAGAGTAGCTTGTTTCCATTCAGCTGGGAATTGGTGTGACTCCAGTGAATGCCTGAACAGATAACATATCGGTGAACAAAGGACTTCTGCACATTGTTGCAAGACTATGGGGCGAATTTTGTCACAACCTGGTGACTTACCTGTAGCAGTTCAATTCGATTCCAATAGGCGTATGTCGAACGCACCTTCCCTTAGTCGAATATCAAAACACAATAATTCTAGGAGAATGTGGCCTATTTATATAAAAGAAATGGAAATACAAACATTTACCTGACAATTATTACGCCTTCCAAGTCGAAATTACTCTGATGAGTTCAAAAGATTAGGTGAAGCTAGTATACTGCGACGATATCAAATGCAAATATGGCTGTAGCCGTATTATATATCAAATTTAAACAACATATGTACAGTTCAGAAGCAAACATAAAAACTTCAATATAAGTACAAAATATAGAAATAATAACAATATACAATGATAAAATCTCAAAATGGAGTCAAATAAAATACCAAAATGTCAACAGAAAGAGTCAGTCATATCATAACAAAAATATATAAACATGGAGTCATTTTCCAAAAAACAAAACATTCAAAAAGGATTCTACATTACCTGTGCGTAAGAATTTTAGTTTACTTAGTACTGAGCCTGGAGTGATACGGATGTTCCCTAAGACGTCAGCTGGCAATGGGCTGGCGTAGTACTCTGAACATGTGGGTGCCTGGTTTAACTGCTCAGAAAAGTTATTTTTGAAGATCTCGGCCATTTCTAGGTTGGTGAGGTCTTCCTCGTTGGGTCCTTTTAGAGAATATAACCCTTGATTAGTAGGTTTTCTTTTGAACATGAACCTAAACAGATGCTTCGGGTTCGCCTCTATTTTGGCAGCTAGCTCTATCTGAAATTGCCTCCTGTCACTTCGAACTTTGATATTGCATCTGTTTCTCAATGCCAGGTAAGAACTGTGGTCGGAATCCTTCAAGGAGACCTTCCACTTGTGCCAGGCTCTCATCTTCGCCTGTAGCAAGCGTTCAGTGCCGCGCATAACCCAGTTTCTTCTATTCCTGGGTGTGTGGTGTGACTGAGGTACATTGTCCTTTGGATGATATCTCTCATTATTTGCCAGTAATCATCTACTGTCAGCCTCCGCAACTCCCGTGGCCATGGGGCATGTAGGAGGACCTCTCTCATACGTGTATAGTTTGCCCTATCGTAGCATAGGTAGGGCTCGTTATCGTCCTGTGTGTGTTTCGTTTAAGACCATGTTACACAAGACTGTGCCATGGTCACTACCACCTATTGGTGCGCGGACGTGAATATCCTCAACCAGGAGCTGGTCATTTGTTAACGGATAATCCAGGTTTGAGGACTTTCCTTCCTTAGTCCATCCTATGGCACTGCATACGTGCCCAGTCAGCTCAGAGCTTCTAATGGCTGTACCAAGTTGTCTTTGGAACCAACCAGTGGGAGTTATGATCTGATTGCTGAGATTTAGAGATAGGGTATTAAAATCTCCAGCTAAGAGTATTTGATCAAACCCAAGGAGTGGCAGTTGTAGTATTGCCTCATTCAGTTTGCTTTTCTGGGCCTTAGTATCCGAAGGAGATCGGTAAATCCCTCCAATCAAGTATTTCGTGCCATTCGTGTGGAAACCACACCAACATGATTCTGTCACATCAGTTAGTTGGGTGTCGTATAGCCGCTCAGCTTTTAAGCGGCTGTTCATATATATAGCCACTCCGCCTCCAGTTTGGTGTACCCTATCACTTCGGAAGAGTGTCATGCCTGGCAAGCTCACTTCTTCGTCTGCAATGTCAGAGGATAGCCATGTTTCAGTTAGGACCATGATCTTCAGATCCATCTGGGAGCACATATTCCTGATTTCTAACAGCTTACCCCTCAGCCCTCTTACGTTGCTACAGAGGCACTTGATGGTTTGTCTCAGCACCTGGTGCACTTCTGCAGCAGCAGCCATTGTCGGATTTTCAGACAAGTTATTCAAACTGAATTGGCCAATTCTGTAGGAACTGGCCTCTGCAGGTTTTTGCCTGTGCGGTTGGTTCAATCGTGTCTCGTGCCAGGAGTAGTTGATCGAGGTTAACTGTCAGTTTAGTGCATTCATTGTGGCCTCCCTGATGTTGTCTCACAGATCTAGGTCGGCTTTCGCAACACCTGATGTGGCTAAACAAATCTTTCCCCGAACTGTGCCAAGCTTGGAGTGCTTCAGTCAGGTCTTTCCGGTTCCTAAATGTCACAGCCATCAGTCGTGGTGACTTGACGGACGTAAGGTGTGACAGGCGGGGCAACCCAGAAACGCAAACATCCATCGTGATGTGAGGGCATAGGTTACGTGATAGCCATCGCCACTGTTGTACATCGTACTCGTGAGCTCCTTCCAGGTTACCGTCAGCGAGTTCGGGTACATTACCATGGTGGGTGCCTGGCATAGTCCTGGCTGCCGCTTGTGCCGACCACGGCTTGTCATGCCTGATATGAAACCACGAACAAAATTTGACCGATGGTCTTTGGGATGAAAGGATGATGTCTTCAGCAAGTCGTGCTGAGTCAAGAGTTACCCTCATTGGAGGGGTTTTCCTTTCGATACATTATGGCCTTTGAAAAGGCGGCATATTTTGGCTGGGACGTTGCAGATTCCAAGGGTTGAGCAGAGTTTATCCCACTGCTTTTTGTCGAAGGCAGCCCTATCTTCTATCAAGCTTTCTCCAGATGCAGGGACATTAAATAGAGCAAGTGAGTTTAATTTGTCATCCCTGTTACTGGGTGGTAGCCGCTTGTGAGTTGGGATGCTGCTATTTCCCTTCTTCACGTTCACCCACTGTTTTGTATTGCTAACATATACTGGGGGGTTAACAACAACCCTCAGTTTTGTCGGCGTGTTGCATTCAAAAGCACGGTCATTGATTTTGACTGGTAATGAGCAGGCATCACAGTCATCCTTATGTTGTTTCTGGACGTTGGACTGTGTCGACTGAGCATTGGAGCGTCTTTTTCTCCTATTCTTAACTAGCTTACTGGTCTTTTTAGTAATAGGAGTGGTGTCTTGCTTCCTCTGTGGTGTTTGCGTTGAGTGACCTAAAGTATGGACACTGAGAGGCGTCCTATCGACTGACGGTTTGAGTTTTTAACAACCCGTTTGCACAATATTGGGATTTTTATCGCACTATTAACCCCGG